TTGCCCCATCCTCTTGCCAGCCACTATCAATCGCCGCCCTTAAACATTTTTTTAAAACAGTTTTCTCAATTTTTCGATTTCTTAATGGTAGAATCAAAATATTTCTTTTAGGATATTAAACAAGATTAAAACCTCGTCCTATGGCAATATTCATTAATAAATTTGAAGCTGGTTTTAAGAAAAAGGCGTGTAAGCGATACTGTAAATGAGAAATTTGAAGTTCTTTTTCACAGGAATCTTTTGTTTTCGAAAAAACTCATTTGAAGTCATGCCGAGAATTTCTGTTTACAGATGCAATAATGTAAACAAACCGCTGGAAATGTGCCTGTTAACAGAGTCGAAAATATTTTAAATATTAAATTTGTGTAATTTTTGAAAGCATGCACATAATAGAATACAACAAAAATAAATTTCTTAAAGTCATTAAGTCATCTTAAACAGTGGAATTAGCTTTACCCGTACAAAAACTTTTAAGAAAAAAATTGGAGCCGTTTTTGAGAAAGTTACGTTTGAACGTTTGTGGAAATGTGAAATTTTGAGCTCCTTTTCACAGAAAACTCTTGAGTTTTCGAGAAACTTTATAAGACATAATTTAAAGCACATGTACTCATAAACGCAATAATGTGAACAAATCAGAGCTAAAGTAAATGTTAATGACATGACAGACAAGACAAATAAATTAAATATTTGTAATTTAGGAAAACATCAGAAGAATAGATCAATACGACATTTATGTCATCTCATTGCGTACATTTAAAAGTACAAGTAGAATTAATATACGCATTTTCAATTGTAAATTTGGGCAATTTGAAAAGTTCATTGCTGAACGGCCACATGATGGGAAAAATATAAATGGTGGTTTTATTTACTTAACATTAGTGTTGCAATGTTCTCTATGTTCAATAAAATGGTACATTCAACTTTATTAAAGTCGAGAAGAATGAATATACAGATGTGCATTGGGTAATGATATCGTCATTTCGAATGCATTCGTACTGTGATATAGTGGGTAGCCTTTCAATGTTCAATTTATTATATGTGATATTATCCTTGCTTGCCTGTATGATGTGCTGGGAATAATGCGATGTTGTAGCACCTCTAGTTAGAAAAGATGACGTGCGTAGTTTTACATACACTTCTGATGAAACAATATCTGCAACACATCTTTTCAGATCGCGATAGTAGAAGAGCAAGTACTATACGCGCAAGTTTTCTTGATATTCCATAGCGGTGGGTGCGGGTAGAGGAGGGCTCTGGTTACGTCACAACTTAAAAGAGCGTACCAACTGTAAGCGTGAACTAACTCACCAAATCGAGAAATGCTACGATTGTTTTGTAAGTACGAGGTGGTTGTTGATAGTATTGTAAATTGGTACGTGCGGTTCCGAGTCGAACCTTAGGATCTCAACGTGCCGTGGTGTTCAGCGCTGGGTGAGGACTAGGGAGCTGTGTATCAAGAAAACTTACGCAAGTAATACTTCTCCAAGTCTAACGCCAGATTAAATCAGCTGATGGATGGATTTCGAAGACAAGAATTTGGCTCCCGCACAATAGTTCAGAGAGTTCTCCAGTTTACCGCTAGAGAGCGCGATCAGTCTGATTCAGAGACTTCTTGGACACACAATGTTAGAAAAATAAGCAAATCCCACCCACATGATTCTTGTAAACATCTCTTTATTAAACTATAAAATATACCATTACCTTTCTTTATGAATCAGTGGTTTTTGTCAAAAATTATTTACTCAAGCGTGGGAACATATTTTAAGCTAATGCCGATGTCACTACAACGTAGTGGTCTAGTAGTAGTCAGGAGTCAGGATCAACAGCACACTACAAAAAGTTCACATACAATACATGTACATTATTTTACAACAAATTGCTATATGTTAAACGATTAAATTCGATATAGGTGTTTAAGTGCTAAGTCAAATATTTTCTGCTGCATAACTCTTTCTACACAATACCGAGCATCAAAAGGAAAGCAGTATCAATTTTAACAATGATATTTAATGCTTTGATAACCATTTAGACTATATAATTTTAAACAGCCTGTAACAAGAATTGTACATCAGCTTCTGGGCCAGTGACCCCATCTCGGGCAGATATTTTGTCCTGTATCCCTGATCCTTCGAGCAAATGCTCAGATGGCCCCTTGTTTCGCTACAGCACATAAATGTAACTTCACTATCTCTACACGTCTTTTAGAGTTCTGTAGGTAATAAAGTTATTCAAATTATCGTTCTCCATGTTCTCAAGGCAGGGAGGCCACGATTATTTCACGAATTTCACGGGAAGGGATAATGGCCAAATTCTGTAGCTGATTTGCATTAGTAAATATTTTTTTGTAAACCAGCATTATAAACAACCTTTTCTGTTGCAATAAATTGTTCATAATCGGAAATTATACAGCAAAAACTATGTCTTTTTTCAGTAAGAATGATGGTGTCATCACACGTTCAGCCAATAGCAGCGAGAGAATGGTGCGTAGGTGGAGGTAAACGGATAGCCATGGGCGACAAATCTCCTTCCTGCTCAATGGGAAACTCCCATCTAATTTCTCTGTCACGGGTGTGTTTAAAACTAACGGGAGGTTTGCCGAAGTGACCAGTGAATTGGACACCCAAGCAAAACCTCACACCAAACGGGATCATCATCAAAGGACGGCAGAATGTCATCAATTTGGGTGGTCACTTTACACCTGAGCAACATGTTGACGAACTACAACGTGCCGCCCAAAACATGAACATTATAGTCTCGACTCTGCTCTTCTGGTACAACAAACGAACTCTACGCAAAGAAATTATACACGCAAACAACCAATTGAAACTGCATCTGAGAGACACGCATTTTAAATTATTCGAGCTAAACTTTCTCTTAGAAAAATACTTCACTCAGCATGGTCTTCACCTGAACCTTGTCGGGAAACATGCACTCGGTACCGTGCTTGCAAAACACACCCTTTCACAGCCTCGGCAGTGAACACATCATAGCCCCATCATCAACACCCATCACCACCCACATCTAGTTCTCTTCTATCCTCCGGGACCTCTAACCCAATTACCTTATCCCTTGAGCCTAATCTTTGTATTAACTTATCTCATTATCCATTCCTCTAGATCTGTCGCCCCTCCCCCTCAACTTCTGTCACTGCTGGCACATGATACTTCCTTTGACGAAGCACTCGAGGTCAAAATGAGATAAATAAATAGAAACTACAGTTAAATGTAGGAGAGAAACATCCGTGTAGGTACATGCAAAAGATTAGAATAATGCACCGCAACGTGCAATCTCATTCAAATAAATTTTGATTTATCAAGGCAGTATTACAGTGTGATCTAAATCAAATAATGAATTCAGTAAAGTTAACATAAAATTAATTACAGACTAGTTGCTGAAGGAATCATGGGGCACAGTTTACAACGCTGTTGACACGAATAATATCATTTATTTTTCTCAATGCTTTCATTTCACGATAACGCATACTTTCCTCTTAAAAAGAGAAAATTAAACATTTCACGGTAAAATAACACTTGTATCACAAAAGAAATTAGAACATCGTGTAAAACGCATTACTTTATTTCTAAACATCATAACGTATCACCTGGTTTCCATGTCTACTTCCGAGATTACAAAATAATTTTAAGATATATAATAGTTCAGTATATTTTGAACGCCAGTAACAAAACTAAAGCAATGTGGAAAATCGTAAAAAATACGACCACATCATCTCGATACTTAGTAGAGAATGTTGTTTTAATGGAAAATGAAAGAGAAGAAAGTAAGCAGGAAAAAGTGGCAAATCCCTTCTACCACCTCTTTTCTAGAATTGCGGCTGAACGCACGAAGGGACTAAAACCACAGCATACCAGCCCTGAGGAAGACCACGACAGGATGGTCGAAACGTCGGCAACTCAGCCTTCGACGCGGCGTCACCCGGACAGCCCAGATCACCCACAATTTCTCTTTTGCCAGTTTTCTCAAAAACATTAGAAAGGCTTTTCTTTACGCGAATGGAAACTTTTCTCAGGAAAACGAAGTGATTTCAGACCCACAACACGGGTTTAGAAAATCAAAGTCTACTGAAACTGACATTTTTTTTCTTTTCTTCAATATGTCGCTTTATCAATGGACCACAATGAAGCACCCATTGGAATACTTGATACCCTGCCCTTCCAAAAACCTCTCTGTTCCTCATAACAAATCCAGGAAAGTTATAAAATATTGAAAAGAGGAGGGTTGTACTTGCCCTATCCTGTATTTTCGCATGGAAAATTTCACTTGGCTTTCTCAAGAGTAACAACCTTTTATGACAGGCGCGTACGCGGACATGCTACCTGGAGGTCCTCTTGACTACCGACTTGACAATATTAATGGAACTCCAAATTACTCCAAACAGCGCCCAATGGCTTCCAGGGGCTGGAGGACAAGTTGCGTCTATAACAACACAACCAATTTTTAAAAAAAGTTGTTTTTAAGGAAGTGTGAATTGTTCGAAGAACATATCTATGTAATTCTGAATAAACCTTTTTTGAAAATTTGTTTCCAAGATCAATTGCATTGTTTTTATTTTTGTTTGTTATTCTGTGAGTACGAACATTTATACTTTTTTAAACAAATAAACACGTTTCATTAACAACTTTCCGTCTTAATGGAAGGGATAGGGTACGCGCGGGTACGCTAGTATAGAATAATATGTACCTCCTTAGTCTATTACGCTAGTCTTTTGTAATACATACAAGTGATAGTTCTGATGTGAACAGTGACAAAACAGCGCCCTCTGGAAATCCAGAGGGCGCTGAATAATTCTGGCGTCGATATATACTCTCTGGTGTTAAACGTGTAAAACTTGCTTGGCGCGAAGGTGGCGCGAGTTGACAAGTTGTTCGAAAATTGTGAGGAATTTGCACAAGCAAATGGTCGTGCTAAAGACAACGTTGCTGTAGTCTTCCAGTATGATGAATATCTCACGGTTAGCCGTTATGTGGAATGTTCATCGTAAAATGCATCAAGTCCTTATAGACTTCGTGGAAAATATGTGATTGAGTTGGGTGAAGGAAATTGAATTACGCTGTGTGGTAAGTGTAGTTTGATTTTATTATTTTGTGGCTAGTTATAATAATGTTCAATATCACTGAATTGTTTTACAAAATGTGTTTTGAGTATTCTATATAATTAATCCACGTGTCTTTCAACTGTAAAAGTAATTAAAGAGGTTTACTACTGTAAGTAATTAAAGAGGTTATTTGAAGCCAACAAGTTTTGAATGAATCCGTAATTAATGTTTAAAAAGTTATTTGGCAATTGCTGCATCTGTTGATGGAAGCAGGTTTCTTAAGTTGTATTGTGTTCTCTACCTCAGCCCCTCACTTTTTCTTGTCTACATTATTATTTAGTTTCATTATGATCATTAGACTCTGTTTTGGTCTTGTGTGCAGTATTTTTACAGGGAATTTTATAAGTGTTTTTTGTGAAACATGCTTATTTATGCGGTAGTGCAGCCAGACAATTTTTGGAAATGTTTGAACATTTTTGGTTTTTTTCTAAAAGCTAATGTCTTCACCTACTAGTTCTGTTGAATATAATTTGCAAGAAAATAACTTTTAGATTTTATATTAATTTTTAAAATTTAAGAACAAAATGTTGAGTAGTACATGTAATATTTTACACCATCCCTTCATCCTTCTTTTATTGTGGTGTTGAAACTGCTGATTGTGACAGAATGAAGGAACAATGGAACAATGTTTGAGGAAGTTTGATTATTTGTGTAAAACTGCTTGTACATATTTACTACTTTTAGTGCTTAGCTGTTTCTTGATTTGCTTTTATTAAATGTAATTCATAATTTTGCTTCAAGCCATATATTTGTTGTTTTTTTGGAAGTAAATGTTTTGTAACAAGCATTATGAATGAAGAGTTTGTGTGTGTGTGTGTGTGTGTGTGTTTGTGTGTGTATGAATGTGTTGTAGGAGTATGATAATATCAGAATTTTCTTTTTTAGGCGTTAACAAATTTGCTCCAGATTTTGAATGACTGGTGAATGATACTGATGATACAGAAACATATCTTGTGCGTTTTGAATTTAGTTTATTTTTGTTACAAATGAGAATTTTGTGCGAGTGGAAATTTAGACTTTATGTGACTGCTGCTGTGCATTTGACTAGATAGTTCTCAATATGAAGTCAAGGAGAACATGCACTTTTAATTTTATATTTGGAAAATAAGGATCACATCAGAATACCTGTAAAAGGAATAGAAATTATCAGGAATTAATTTAATTCTGTAGCAATACGAGTTTTGGAAAAGATTTGAATTCCATGCAAGTGATGGATATTATTTTCCTGACGTCTTTCTTGATGTATCCTATTGGAACTGAAGTAATGATGGAACATGAAAACTGTGAGGACCTGTTTCCTTCAGTACTCCTGTTATATGAGGAACCTTCAATGGAAAGGATATTGGTATGTTATCTTTTGTTTTGAACATTTGTGACTGTGAATGTTCTCTGAATTAAATAAAGTGTAAATTTGCAGATCCCGATTGTTTCTATAAGATGAGAACTCGTGCATTCCATATTGTAAGTTTGTGAAGTGATGTACCAAGTGCTCCAGTGGTAAGCAGAGAAGACAATTGAATAGTTTCTTTATCAAAAGGAAAAATAAACTGTTGATGGTTTAATTCTATTAAGCTAACATTTTTGTGATGCGTTTTCCTTTTTGTTAATTCATGAGCACTAATGGAGCAAGGAAATTACTGTTTTAAACTACTTACCAATTTATGTTAGACAACTGCATTGTCATGTCTATCTCATTTAGATGCGTTGAAATCGAAATTGAAAACAAACCTGTATTTATGTATTCGATGAATTTGCTCTACATTTGTCATCTGCTTTGCAGATCTCTTAGTTAATAACAACTTGACAGCTTTGCAAAGTCTGTAGAGCTGCTAAGATTGTTAAGATTCCATGACAAAAATAAAGCTCAAGTAACATGGTTATGAATATTACATTAGTACTTTTGAGGTCTTTAGTATAATATATTTGGAGGTATCGTGCAATTTAGTTTGAACATTGTGTGTTTTTAAACATTTGATGCTGAGTAGAACTTGTCCATCTACTTCAATTTTTGGTAAATTACAGAAAGATACAACTTATAAAACTGGATATGGATGAGAGCTTTAGGTAGTATATCATATTTGATACATAAACTTAGTTTCCCTTTCTACTTCTTTAGAAGCAGAAAGCATGTAGTAAAAGTAGTTTGTCTAGAATAGTTGTAGACCATGTGTCAAACAATTCTGATTGGTTCTTGGATATAACATAAATCTTTTCTTGGATTTAACATAAATTGTATGTAAGGGTCTGTGTCACTTGCAATTTTCATTGTGATTTGAATATCAAGTTAGTGAGAAGAAGGTGACATTAGTTAAAATGTGATCTTATAAATTATTTAATGAGTCTCTTCTTCTTTTCTTATATTCTTATATAATTGAAAATGGCTGCAATTTCATGAGGCAGAAGCAATAATTCAATTTTGAAACCTTTATTATGCAGTTTTTGTAACAAAATTACAATTTATTGAAAAGCACACACATGCACATACATACACATTCTTAAACATGAATGCTCACTCTCGTGTTCACACATAATACACACACACACTTGCCCTACATAGTATACATGCCTACACTTATATGAAGAAACATACTTAGTTACACCTAGTAAACATGCTTAGATATACATACATATAAAATTAACCAGTTATACAATTTTTTAAAAATGGAAACACAATGTAGACTTTTTAAGTTAGCTCTTTAAGCATCTAAATTTGTACTCCACCCACTCTCTCACTTCACTTTATTACACTACACTTTCACCATATCTTTCTTTGGTTATGTCATATAACTAATTTAGCATAAACTAATAAGATAGCTTTCCATTGCACTGCACTGCACTACACTACACTACACTACACTTTATTTATAATACTCTACAATTCACTTGAATGATGGATTCTGAGCAATGTGGTAAAATACATCCTCTACATGTACTTATGAAGTAGTCTTCTGAAAACACCAACAGAGCCAGGAAAAGGCTCTGCAACTGCTGCAGGGATTTAATTCCAATTTTTAACCATAAGATTTACAAATGAATATTTCCCTATGTCGGATCTTTGAAGTCTACTTTTTATTTTGCATTTGTGATTGCTTCTCCCAACTCTTGAAGGGGAGTCTAGTCTTTTTGATACTTTTGCCCATGCAGGTGACTTACTGTATGTCTTGAAGAGGCAACCCAACCTGGCTTTTTTCTTTGCACGCTGAGGGCCTCTATAGGTCTTGGTGGATTTGGACTACTTGAAGATCCCTTATTTATGAATTTGATTAATAATATTAATTGAGTCACATAAACAATTACAATCGTGTATGACGAGTCAATATGATTTGTTGCTTGGAGAGAGCAAAGTTACATTACTGTTCAGGAAAAAACAAGGGGCCATCTCAGCACTTGCTCAAGGGACCAGGGAAACTGAACAAAACCTGATCGAGATGGGGGTCATTGGCCTAGGGATTATGCTACAATACTTGCTACAGAGAGATTAGGGTATTATACAGTAGATAATTATTTTTAGTAGCAGATAATTTAACATTTCAAAATGTTATTGTAATTTTAATGCTACTACTTCTAATACATAACAATTCTGTTAGCAACTACATAAAATTTAACAATATTAGTACATTCTATATTTAAAACTTGAAATGGTGAGGAAGAGGAGGAGGCGGCAAGTTTTGACCAGTTTTTTCTTTTTTTCTTCTTTCAATTTGTACACGTCCTACTGCAGCTCGTAATGTGCCTAGCGAATCCAGAGAGAAACATAATTTTTGTTGTTTTTGGCAGGCTTTATCCTTCTACGTCACAGGATGCGATAAGCCAGTTCTTTTTTCTTTGCTTCAGCTCGTAACAGTTAACATAAAACAGAAAGTCTAATGGGATAAGTAATTCTTATTTATTTATATTTTTTTAAGGGAAATATTGTTGTGATTTATATATTCCTTTACACTGTAGAAGCAGTAAAGCTTTCAATTTACTTTTAAATGTATGAATTGTGTTTGTCTTTAATATCATTGCCTAGTAATCTGTAAAGGGTAATGTCCTCTATTAGGGTACTTTTTTGATAAGTTTCAGAGTGGGGATCATGTATGTTATCCTTTTGACGAGTGTTGTAGTTGTGTACATCGGAATTTAAAGTAAAGTGTCTTTGTTTTCCACGACTTTTCTTTGTGAAGACCACTATTTCAAATAAATGTGTGGTAGAATCCTTAGTTTATTGAACAAGGGTTTGCAAGACTCCAGTTTACGAGTGCTCGTCATTGATTGCAATATTCTTGATAATAAATGTGCGAGTGCTTTCAGGGGCATTTCCCCATAATATTATTCCATTTTAGATGTGAGTGCACATTTTCAAAAGCACACACAGTGAGTGCACATTGTTCGAAGTGTCTCAATGTTGGAGCTTGACCTGAGGGTGTATAGGGCATAGCAAAAATTGGTGAGCTTCTTGTTAAGATTTGAGATGTGAGCATTCCATTTTAGGTTTTCTTGAATTGTTAGACCGAGGAAAGTAGTTTCATTAGGTATCGTTACAGGGTTATTGTTCATGAGCAAATGCTGTGAGAGTTTTTTTTAGATCAGGGATTCGTGAAATTTAGAGAGACTGTCTTGCTGGTGTTTATGATGAGTTTGTTGTCTTGAAACCATTTTACTAGTGCTTGCAAAGTTTTGTAAGTTTCTTTTTCTAATGATTGCTGTTTTTGCTTTGATGATTATGTTTGTGTCAACTGCAAACAAAATGATTTTGTTATTCCTTAAAGCCAAAGGTATGCCATTTATGTATATAAGGAATAGTTTTGGCGCAAGGATGGATCCTTGCGGGTCTCCACAATTTATCATTTTAAGTGCAGGAGTAGTATGAGGAGATTTTGTTTTCTTTAGTGTGCTGGAGGACAACTATTTGGCTACAGTTTGATAAATATGATTTGATCCATTGGCTGGCAATACCTTGAATCCCTAGCATTTCTAGTTTTCTTAAAAGTATGTGATGGCCAATAATGTCAAGGGCTTTTGACAAATCTAAGAAAAGTCTAATGGGAATTTCCTTCTGATTTAGTTCAACAAGTATGTCATTTAAAAAGGAGAAGGTGTCTGTCTGGTTCTATTACTCGTGAAGCCCTGTTGCGCATTAGCAAGGACATTATTTGCATTGAGAAACTGTTTGAGTCTATTATTGAAGAGCCTTTCCAGAATTTTTGAAAATCCTGATATCTTTAATTTTTGCTCTTTTGAATATATCTGGGAGTATGCCTGATTTTAGAGAGTAATTGCAGACGTGACACTATACAATCTTTCAATTGCTTTCTTTTGAATTTTTCCTAACTCTTCAATCTGGCCTAATCTGTATGGGTCCCATCCAGCTGATGCGTATTCAAGATGCGGCCTAACTAAAGATGTGTATCTAATTTGCGACTGTCCATGTTCTCCTTTTTAAATGTTCTCATTACAAAGTGTAGCGACTTCCACCCTTTTCGGGCAATAGAAGTAACGTTTCTCCCATCCCAGGTCTTGGCGTAATATAATACCCAGATATTTACAACACGATACTTGTGGAATGATTACGCCTCCCATTTGGTATTCCAAAGAAACCTTCTTTGCTGATTTCGAAAATCTTAGTGATTTACTTTTTACGGCATTTATCTTAATTTTATTAATGGTAGCCCAGGAAGGAATGTTATTTAGATCGTTTTGAAGTGTAAGAATATCTTCATCCGAATCTATTCGCCGGTAAATTATGTAGTCGTCCGTAAATAAGCGCGTTACTGACTTAATACAAGATGGCAGATCGTTGATGAATGCTAGTGTGGCGTCATATCAGTCGCCTTGTACAAATGTACCAAATATCAGCCACGTGCACTTCATGCTCATGGACAGCGTTGGCGGGAAGAGACGCCGGGCTCAACAATGGCAAACCTAGGGAGCGGGAGGGAAGGGGTGCCGTGTCGTGGATGGCTACTTGGGAACCCCGTAGGCAGGCTAGCAGCGGAAACGCGTCGGCGGAAACGGCAAGATGACGCAGTTCCGTCACTGTTTCAATTCGCTCGGCTTAACTCGGAAGCGGAAAATATTCAGTACGAATAACCTGGTTTAACTTCCGGTAGTCAATGCATGGCCTGGGTTTTTTTCCGGGTGCTTCCACCAAAATCATGGGGGATGTGAAATCAGAATCTGAAGGCTCGATGATACCATCCCTTAGCATTTTCGTGATTTCATCCTGGAGGATTTTAGTTTGGCGATGAGACGTGCGATACGGAGCGCTACTCACCCTTGCATTTTCGTCCAGCAACTCAGTGTCCATCTGAACGTTTTTAGTGAGCCCTGGCCTATCAGAAAAGATGTCCCTAAACTCAATTACAAGCTCTTTCAGCTTTTCACTTCCTTCCGGCTCCATTTCTGTGCCTGTGAGCATTGCCTCTACATCAAATTCCTCCGGTCCTAACTTTAGGGCGTATTTCTCTATTCCGTCCTCCATAAATTCATCTATTTGTTCTTGATTGACAATAAAGTTAACATACTCTGTCCTTTGTACGTATGCTTTGATCATATTGACATGATATACCTTGCCTGTACTCGTGTTCGGCATTTGAATGACGTAATTCGTGTCAGACACCTTCTCTACAATCTCTCCCGGTTCTATCCATTGCACAGATAATTTACGAACCTTGTTCGGAGCAAACACTAATACCTTGTCTCCTACATTAAATGTACGTATCACCGCTTTCCTATCATACCAGGTTTTTCTTTTCACCTGAAGTGCCGATAGTTTTTCATGAGCTGAGTCTCTAATTACCTTCAATCTATTTGCAAGACGAAATATATACTCCGTTACTTCGCTACTTTCCGGCTCAATTCCAGAGTTATTCTCGTAAAGCAACGAAATAGGAGTCCTCAAATTTCTACCGAATACTAATTCTGCGGGCGAGAATCCAAAACTTTCATGTAAACTTGTTTTTAAAGCGAACAGTATGGCCGGAATCTGTTTTCCCAGTCAGTTCCAGCTTCAAGACACAGAACTTTAAACAGCCTATTTATTGTACTATGTACACGCCCCACCGGATTGGTCTGCGGATGATAAACTGAACTATGGATCAATTTAATTCCGAATTTATTGGCGAATTCTGCCATCAGCGTGCTTCTGAAGCACGGGCCTTGATCCGTTTGAATTTACCGTGGGAAACCGGTTCTGCTGAACAACTGCAAAAGCGCATTAATTACAGTAGGAGTTTGAATCGGTATCGCTTCGGGGTACCTCGACGCAACACAAATAGTAGTAAGTACATGGACATTTCCGGTATTGCTTCTCAGAAACGGGCCTATCGTATCTAAATTGAATCGAGGAAAGACCTCTCTTATAGTGGGGACCAACACTAAAGGTGCCTTCTTGCGATCACCACTATGACCTACGCGCTGGCAGCTGTCGCATGAACGTACAAAATGCTCCATCTCTTTAAAACAATTTGTCCAGAAGAAGTGCTTAGACAAATTGTTCTTCGACTTAGCTATTCCTAGATGAGCACTGACAACTTCATGACAAATCTTTAATAAGGCCCACGAAATTTATTGGGACACAACTAACATTTCATAAATGTCGCCCTTATTGCTCTTCCATTTCTTAAATAATAAGGAATTCCTAACAAAATATGTATCTTTCCGATTCTGCTTTTACGTCCTTATACTTCTCAAACAAACTATTTACACCCGCATCTCCCTTTTGCGCCGTGCTGAATTGTT